TATATATATAGATTAAAACTATCTTAACCCTACTTGCTTCTTGTCGGTTTTATTACAAATCGATGAGACTGAAAACTCAAGAAGGTGTCCTTTTGTCAGCTTCACTTGCTTTATATCAACTGCTTTCATTGATTATTATTAATGAAAAGTTTACGAGGCTTTTCTTTCTTGAGTCTACTTGATTCTTGCTTTTTTATTGTTAGACGAAAATTGGAATTTTAAAAAGTGTCTCGCCCTCGACTTTTCTTGCTTTTTATCGATATCTTTTACTTATTTTTGCCAGCGGAAACATGAGAAGGACCATCTGCCTTAACATTGAGCACTTTATATTTATTTATTATTGTTTAAGATGCATAAAAACGTAAGAATGATTTACTCCCTAACTTTACACGTTCCATATTGATTTTTTATTCATTCATTCGCGTAAACGTGTAAGAATGTTTCTCACCCTTCACTGTACTCACTGATTATCAGCAGTTGGATTTATCATAGGGACTGAAAAAATGGTATACATTATATTTTTTGGCTTTCCTTGATTCCTATAGATTTTATTATTGATCAATTTCCATGGAAAAGAAAAATTTTCTTTTTTTGTAGTTCTCCTTTCTTGTTGATAATTTTAATGGTTTAAAAAAAATAGCCTAAAAAGACTTTTCGTACTTTACATTATCTACTTTAAATCAACTGTCTCATTAATTAATAAATTTTTATGATGATACTTTATAAAATTGCATAAACTGTATGAACGCTTCTATTATTTGAATTGACTTGATTTTGAAACTCTTTAATTATTGGTTGACGTCAATGAAAACGTTAAAAGACGTACCTTTTTTCGTTTTACTTGGTTTCATCGTCCTATTTAATTGTTTAATAGTAACGCTAACTTAAAGATGTTCTTTTTTTGTCCGTCCTTCCTTCTTTTTATTTGTATTGTAGTAAAAAAATATAAATAAACGTTTGTTTTTAAACTTTTCTCACCATTATTTGATTTAAATATGATCAAA